GAGTTTTACGAATTTCAAGGTATACTCAACAATGGAGTTGCCTTTACTTTTACACTCAAGTGTGTATTCTTTCCCAAATACCCAAGCTTTAGTATTTATAGGGAAATGAACCCTTGATCTTCATTTCCCAACCAATGTGGGAGAATGAATAATTTTGATAATTAATTTAATTCCAAAATAAATTATTAATTAAATCAATCACAATGCAACAAGTGTCAATGGTAGGGAGAGAGAGAGTTAGGTGAGGACCATGAACCTTGGGGGGGACCATTGCCTTGCTCCCCAAGGCATGCTCCAAGCCTTTGGTCCCTACTCCCTCAAACCGCCACCAAGAATGCTGGGCTGGCAGCCAGCTAGCACGCCAGCTGGCCCAACAAGCAGCCTCGCATCCCAACCAGTATATGCGTGCTGGCGCTGGGCGATGCTTGTGCTGCAACTGCGTGCTAGTGCTAGGCGATGCTGGCCGCTGGCACTCCCAAGCACTCGCACGCCCACTCGCATGCCTACGCACTGCCAGGCCATCATACGCATAGCCCAGCCAGCGCACTCACGCACGCAAGGCCTAGCATGCATGCTGCTAGCGAGCCACGCATCCTGGGGCTTGGTGCTGGGAGATGGTGCATATGCACAGGCACACACGCAAGCGCCTGGCATTGCGATGGTGCTGTGCGATGGTGCATGGCCTGCGATGGTGCGAGACACACACACGCAAGGCCCAGCATGCGTGCTGCTAGCGAGCCACGCATGCTGGATGGCTTGATGCTTGGCGATGGTGCTAGGCACACACGCAAGTGCCCAGCACTGCGATGGTGCTGCAATAGTGCCTAGGCACCCATGCACGCACGCTGATGTGTTGTTGTGCCATGCGAAGGCACGCACACACGCAGGTGGTGCTGCGATGGGCAGCCTAGTGCGCCTACCACGCATGGCGCGCCTAGCACACCATGGTGCGCCTAGGCTTGCAATGAGCTAGCCTAGCCTAGCTACGGCTATGCTCGTAATTGTTCCTTGTGATTTTGCGATGCTCGGCCTCGACGCCCTAGGCTCGATATCCGACGTCTTTGTTCGTCAAACTCCGACGACTCATTAAATCCTTCGGATTGATTCGTCGTCTCGAAGGGTTCAGTTAAGATTATGCTATAATATTAATTATACCTTAATATTACTGATCGGAAGCGGCCTTCACCTAGGCATTCCGATCACTTGATCTTACTGAAGAATTTGCTTTGTAATAATTCTGAACCCTCTATCAGAATAATACACTTGTTGGAAGGACACCATTCCTTTCACTGCGGCACTAACACTGAACCGTGCTCCGTCAAAAGTTATCGAAAAGACTCCATAAGAATTATGGACGAAGAAACCTCCACGGTTGTCTTTTCTTAAGATTTAGGGTTGTGAAGCATATGTCAAGAGATTAATTTCAAACAAACTTCACCCAAAATCTGACAAGTGTTTCTTTGTGGGCTACCTAAAATAAAACTAGGGGTATTACTTCTACAACAAATCCGAGAACAACGTGTTTGTTGCTCGTGACAGTGTCTTTTTGGAGAAGGAACGCTTTTCCATTATGACAAGTGGGTGGAAAGTCGAACTCGATGAAGTTCGAGAGGACAAGCAAGAAAGTCAACCTGACAAACCTGACAAGCAAAGTGCTTTAGACGTAGCTATTGACATTAGTCAGAGTCAAAGTGATAATGTGCAAAGTCAAACCGACAATGCAAATGCTCAACCTATTACCCTGCGTAGGTCACAACGACCAAGATCTCGACCAGATAGATACCTTAGTATTGTCTTAACCGAAGATTAAGACATCCTAGTTATGGATGGAAATGAGCCAGGGACATACAAACAAGTTATGACGATCCCCGGCTCTGCAAAATGGCAAGAGGCCATGAAATCTGTGATGGACTCCATGTCTAAAAATCAAGTCTGGGATTTGGTTGATTTGCCCGAAGGTTACAAACCTATAGGTTACAAAACGATTTTCAAGTTGAAAATAGACAAAAATGGAAATGTTTCTATATACAAAGCTAGACTGCTGGCAAAAGGTTACAGGCAAATTCACGGTGTTTATTATGATGAAACCTTTTCGCCAGCCACAATGCGTAAATCCGTCCGGATTATCCTAGCGATTGTTGCATATTACGATTATGAAATATGGCAAATGGATGTCAAAACCGTCTTCCTTAATGGGATTTTTGAAGAAACTGTATGACACAGCCGGAAGGTTTTGTTGATCCAAGCAATGCTGGGAAGGTATGCAAGCTTAAGAAGTCCATTTATGGACTAAAGCAGACAAGCAGAAGTTGGAATACGCGATCCGATAAAGCCAATAGTAAGTTTGGTTTTATCAAGAATCCAGATGAGTCTTTTCGATAGCTTTTGATGACTCCAAGTTGCAATCAAGGTACATATTTTGCGTGAATGGAGAAGCGGTTACTTGGAAGAGTGCTAAGCAAAGCACCACTACAGATTCTACAAGTGAAGCCGAATACTTGGCAGCTTCAGAAGCAAATAAGCACGGAGTTTCGATACGTAAGTTCATTAGTGAAATTAGTGTTGTACCCTCCATCAAGGGTCCGATAGACCTCTATTGTGATAACAATGGAGCTATTGCTCAGGCTAGGGAGCTAAGGGAACACCAGAAGGTCAAACATGTCAAGCGGCTATTTCACATGATAAGGGAATGGAAGTGCGAGGTAGAAATCAGAATTTGTAAGATTGGAACGGACGACAATGTAGCCGATCCATTGACTAAACCTTTGCCTCAAGTGAAGCACACTAAGCACGTTGAGGAAATAGGAATCAAGCACGTTTCTTGTGCTACGAGGACATGATTGTCATAAACCATTTGCACAAGTACTATTTTGGAACTATACCGGATCGACCTATGAGAGTACTTTAAGAGATTTTAAAACCGTCATAAGTACATTTCTCATTATAGCTATCGGAACCTTTTTCCTCGACAATGAGTATTGTAAGTTCTCTTATTTGAGTACTATTCGTTTTGATGTTGTCAAACGTCTGCCGTATATGGGGATTATAACGGCAACACTCGGGCGACTAGGTACTCTTAGTAAGGGAAGCTAACAATACAAGACTGGGAATGTCCCCCTATTAACAATAGGGAACATGTCTTTGTTGTTTATAAAGCCTCTCGAAAAGCGAGACTGTGAAAATGCATGGTCGTGCTCAGATGGATTTTAGAAATCATCTGCTTATTGACAGTCAAACTCGGGGAATCTAGACGTAATAAGGATGATGAAGAATCTTACCTTATAGTTCATGAAGAGACATTAAACAACATAGGAAAAGGGTTATACACTAACTGCACACTTGTCTAGAAGGACAAGTGGGAGATAGAAAGGAATGGTGTCCTTCCAACAAGTGTATTATTCTGATAGAGGGTTCGGTATTATTAGGAAGCTAATTCTTCAGTAAGGTCAAGTGATCGGAATGCCTAGGTGTAGACCGCTTCCAATCAGTAATATTAATGCATTACTAAAATTACGGCTTAATCTTGACTGAACTCTTCGGGTCGCACCTCTTTCGAATAACCGATCTGAAACGACGAATCAATCCGAAGGATTAGATGAGTCATTAGAGTATTACAAACAAAGACGTCGGATATCGAGCTTAGACCGTCAGACCGAGCGTCACAAGTTGAGTCGAATTTAGAATTCGACGAGATGTGGAATCAAGCAACCGACCAGTTCGAGCTAGGCCGTAGCCTCACATTGGCCTAGCCATGCGAGTGCTAGGCCAGCCTAAGCTACCATGCACATCGCAAAGCATGCCGCAAGCCTAGCACGCATTGTGTGCTAGGCCAAGCATGCTAGCATGGCTGATGTTGATGGCCGCAAGCATGCTAGCAGCTAGCGCATGCTAGCGTGCTAGTGTGCTGAGCTATGTACCTAACCGCAAGCATTGCACGCACCTAGCATGGGCATCGCAGCATGCTGTACGTGCCAACTCTTCGCAGCCTCGCACCAAGCAGCAGCAGCGCCTAGTAGCAGCACAGCAGCATCGTATGTGTGCTAGCTGGCTGCGCATGTGTTGCATGCTAGCTGGCTGAGCGTATGATGCATGCTGGTTGGCTGGGCTATCCAGCCTTGGTGCTAGGCGCCAGCTGGCAGCCAAATTAGGCTGCCAACCAGCAATTTGGCATGGTCTGCCGGTCAAAGGGAGGGGACCAAGGGGTTGTTGTTTGGCTTGGAGAGCAAGGTGATTTGGTCCCCCTTTGGTGGTTGATAGGCGTGTCGCGTACCTATCAAAAATAAACCTAACTATTCCTCCTAACTCATGTAGTCGGGCAAGTAAGGGTCGAATCCCAAGAGACTAAGGTTCACCTAATTAATTAGACTTAAGCAATCACTAAGCAAGCAACGAATCAATAATGACTAATACTAATGATTTATATATTAAATACCACAATTAATCTAGAGAAAATGATAATTAATGAATTAAAGCATCCAAGATGAAGCATTACCAAGAATATAATCAATGCACAAATAAATCTACCCCCAATAACAAATCAATCGACAAGAAGAAAAGCATTTCCTAAACAATACCAAAGGTCTCTTCCGAGTTATCAATGGCCTCCCAAATCAACTATCAAGCCTATTTCCATGGAATCAGGCAAAAAAGGGACATTAAACACAATAATTAACTTCCTAATCATCCAATCACCTACTCCTGTAATGACTCTCAAACCCTTAATTGAAATACCCAAATCCTGTTAATACCCAACTTTCGTTCTGATAAGAACAAAGGGATGATAACAATACTAATTATTCCTAATCTACCATTGGCATAAACATAATCAATTAAGCATGTCAATTGGGATTATTATTGGAGAATTTAAAGATTCAATTCATGTATTAATCATATTCGGGCTTTAAAAGATCCCAGATTAAGGATCTACTCACACATATTATCGAAATCAAAAACAAGATTCACTAAAGAAAACATAATTAATGAGTAATGAAAATTAAAAGTTAAGAGAATAGATAAATACCAATTGCTTCAATTGAAAGAACTTGAATTGTTGATGCACAATGATCCAAACTAAGAGTAGAACTTAATTGCTGAAAGAAGAGAAAACTAGGGTTTTAAAGTAGTTATAATACTAGAGAAAATAAATAATCTACTCTCTAAATGTGATTACAAGGGGTATTTATACCCTTAAAAAGATAGAATCCAGTAATTAGTTAAAGACGGTCGTCGCGCAACAGTGCCCGGTCTGCCGGGGCGGAGCCTGCCCGATTGGGCGGACGAAGTAATTTCCTTCTTCCTGTGTTCTTCTTCTTATGCCCGGTCAGTCATGGCATGTGGTGCCCGGTCGGGTGCGTGTAACAACTTCTTGAATGAAGCTCTGAGAATAACACTCCTCACTGCCCTGTCAGCCAGGGCATGTGGGATCTATGATGATTCTTCATAGTTAGCTCTTCCTTCCTTCGCCCTAGCAGCCAGGGCATTGGGGAAATCTTCATCTCACTCAACAACCTCTTCCATAACCATCCAAAACAGGTCCAATTCATCCAAGAAACCTCTGTATTCCAGTGAAATTCAATAAAATAGATTGAACACACTAGAGAAGAGATTGTTATCAAGAAACGGCTCCGTAGAGCCCAAAAACCATGCAAATATACGCTATAAAACCGGGGTAAAACATGGTATAAAACACATACATCAAATTCCCCCAAGCTAACCTCTTGCTTTCCCTCAAGCAAGACAATAAAAAACAACAAACAACCAAGTAAACCTACTTCACCCCATAATGCAATTGAAAATAACAGACTCAAAATCGAAATCAGACAAGCACGAATCTTAGAAAACCAATCAAATCACTCAAACCATCAATCAACCTAAATAGTTGTCAAGCGGAATCAACCATGTATAACTCAGGAATCGATGATTAGAATATCTCACTTGGTGGTCACTCTACACAACATTTATGTGGCAAGCTAAAAATGAGCTCGATCTCTCTCCATCCCCACTAATAATGAAAACCACCCATCTCACAACACTCGCGTGTTTAAAGGGTTATATTATCGCTCAACCTAGTTAAATGTCGACTCGAAATGTGACATATGCTCCAGCATTTTTACAAGGGACTCATTTCACAAGAACATAATACCATGCACGAAGGTCAGAAGGTCTTTTCAAGCTTGTTATGTAGGCTGGGTAAAAGTGGGGAGGAAGTAAATTTGGAAGATGTAGGCAATTATAGTCTAATCGGGGAGCTATTGAGCATAATCAATAAACATCCTCGATCCATCATTCATACTTACAAGAGCACATATCACAATTACATTGTGAACATCCACTACTACCTTTATTTTTCATTCTTCTTTCTTTTTCTTTATTTAAATTTTTTTTTATTCTTTCTTTCACCTTTCTTTTTCTTCACTTTACTTCCCTTTTTTTTTTGTCTTTTTTTTTCATTCACTTTCTAAGGATAAAACCTCCATGCTTGTGATTCCTTCTTTTCTCTTTTTTTTTTCTTAGAGGTCCACATTAAACGCCAATTTGATCACAAAATTAAACAAACACCACGATATAAAGCTCCCCCGAGCTAGACTTGGGAAAAGTAACCAATTGGGGCCAAGGGGTTAATTTAGTTGCTTTCATGAAAAATATGGACAAGGCTACAACATGGGTGACCAAGAAGGGATCAAACGTTTCTAAATTCATTTGGAGCTCACCTAAAGAACATGGCCTTCGTCCTTCTCAACGTGCACGTGCAATGTATTATAACACATTACTAAGAGTCTAAAGTCAAAATTAAGATCAATATCACACCAGGAACAAGACACACATGAATAAATAATTAAGGCTCAAGGCTCACAGTTGACACAGTCAAGCTCCAGACTCATACATGGTTAACAAAGTCTACTAGGGATCAAAACAATTCAAGGTTAAATCATGATCATTTAATCCGCAATGCAAGCCTTTCAATCAAGATCAAGTCAAAAACCTTTGGGCACGAGGATAGGGGCACAGGGAAGTAGTTCACTAGCCATTCATTATCATGATTCTCGTATATTTTTTTTAACACAACCAAGCAATACAACAAACCAATCAAAGAAAAAGTAAATAAGAGAACGTACCGAGAGATATATACATATACACAAGCCTCCCCCAAGCTACACTCGGCAATGGCCTCATTGCAACGTGTGGAAGGTGGGAAAAACACCTATGAATCCTCACTCGAATTCATCATCATCATCATCACCATCACCGTCATCATCGTCACCATCATCATCATCATCGGCTGCCCCGCTACCACCTGTAATATCTCCCACATTGGGAAAGGTATGCCACGAAGGATGGGAAGCATCACTCGGAATATGACCTTGCCTGTAAAAATAACCATAGACATGATGCATAGATAAGCGAAAATCGGTCTTAAGTGTCTGGATACGGGAGCATAAGCCTTGCTGGCCTAGCTGAAGTTCCCGTATACTGGCCATGATGGCCTCGTTGTCAAATGAGACAGGTGGTGTAGTGGAAGATGTGGAGGGTCCAGCAGACTCTCGCCTATAGTAAGTCCTCGTGGGGGCAACTAGGGCAAGTGAACTGCTAGGAACCTCTAAAATATATGAAGGTTGGTGAGGGCGAATCTTAAAAAGGTCAGGAGAGGGTAAGGAGATGGAACGCCTATTGCTCTTTCCAATGAGCCAACTGTAATTACCAAATTCAACTGACAACCAGCCGGTGGTAGTGAAGTAGTGCTGGTCCAAGGTAATAGGATCCAGCATTGGTGTATGGTGGGCTTCATCAAAACCCTCCTTAACTGCCAAGTGGGTCACCAAACCGCCTACGACTATAGGGATGTTGGTACGGCCTCCATTAGGTTTGACAGTGGTGAAGGTAAGATCCTATTTCCTAAGATGAAGGGCAAGTAGGTGAGAAATGTTCATCTGAAAACCCTCATCAGAATCCCCATATCATAGATAACTACCCAAGATTGCAACTTGTCTGCCCCAACTTTATTAGGTTCTATCCGTCCAAAAATAGTCCACCCAGAAAAGCGAGTCAAAAGTCTAAGGACGGGTTAGTTAATGGATTTTGTTAGCGAGAGCATGTTGCATAGACTCGATGTTTTCACCTGTCATGGCAAACCACAAATCCCCAAAAATGAAATTGTTCGGTTGCATGGTTAATCCTATGGACGGAAGACCAAACTTCCTACCAAAACCATCTAGTGTAAGACAGTGGGATTTATTCAACAATCTATAAACTACGTGTGTCACCAAACCATCTCTACCTTTTACTATATCAAAATAGCTCAAAAATTCAAGAGTGATATCTTCACATGTATAATGGATCATGTTAAACAATTGAGACATGCCAAGCTTAGAAAACAAGGTTCTACAATTGGAATCTATTCCTAATTTAGCAAGAAGAGAACGGTGTATAAAATGAGTGGGAATTACCTCCCGATGTTGTAGCTCTAGGAACCGCTTCTTTTGATTTGGAAATTCGGCCACGAACTTGATGTTTGGGAACCCTGGAATGCTCTCCAAATCTAGTTGTGGTTCTTGAGGGGCGCTCCTATTTCTCTTCCTTGCAGCCATTAATATTTCTCAAGCTTTCTCTCTCTAAAAAAGAAAAATTTCGGGTGAGATGAGTGTTTAGATGGAGAGGAATAGTAATGGAGGTTGGATATGGGGTCGAAGTGATGAAGGATGAAGAAATTGAAAGGATTTGAGAGAAGTTTGTGGGAATTAGAGGAGAGGATGAGAGTTAGGGTTTTTGATTTTGTGGTTTTTAGAGAGAGAGTGTAGGAATAATGAAAGAGTAGAATGGTGAAGAGGGCATTTTTTTTTTTTGTGAATTAAAACGTGTTGTCCTCGCAGTTTCTCTTCGCGCCCGGGCGTTTAAAGAAGAAAATTTTTCCATTCGTAATTTCCGAGTTTGGCTCTCACGCCCGATCGGGCAGTGATGCCCGGTCTGACCAGGTTCTGGGGGTTAGAAAATATTTCATGTTTTCTTTTCTCCCCTTTCTTCCCCTTATGACTCTGCTTCTCACGCCCGGTCGAGCGTGGCATGCCCGGTTTGCCAGGGCGACGAGTTAATTCCTCATTTTATCAACCTTTGACGACCTTCTTGACATCCCACTTCTTACATTGCTCGGTGTTCTCTGAAAAACAAAACAAACACAAACACAAAACTAAAAAGAGAAGATGAAAAATAGGAAAAAAAAAAACTAAGAAAACGGGTTGCCTCCCGCAAGCGCTTGTTTATAAGGTCGTTAGCTCGATCGTAGTGATGCTCATTGAATTGGTGATGGGGAAGAGAGTGTGATGTCCACTTTCTCTTCGATAGGATCCCCAACACGGTAATGCTTCACCCTTTGGCCGTTGACCTTGAAAGTGGACCCGGTCTTGTTCCATAGTTCAATAGTACCGTAGGGGTAGGCCTTAAAAACAGTGAAAGGACCTAACCACCTAGACCGAAGCTTTCCGGGAAACAATTTCAACCGTAAGTTAAATAGAAGAACTTGATCTCCTTCCTTGAATTCTTTTCTCACAAGGCCCTTATCATGCCACCGCTTAGTTCTTTTTTTATATAGTTTTGAAATCTCATAAGCTTCAAGACATAGCTCATCTAGTTCATTCAACTGTAACAACCTCTTTTCTCCCGCTGCTTTAGCATCAAAATTTAAGCTCTTAATAGCCCAAAATGCTCGGTGTTCTAGCTCAACGGGTAGGTGGCATGCCTTTCCATAGACAAGTCTATATGAGGTTATACCTATTGGCGTTTTGAAAGCTGTTCGGTATGCCCATAGTGCATCATCAATCTTGGCCGACCAATCCTTTCTTGTCCTTGCAACCGTTTTCTCTAGGATAAATTTAATTTCCCGGTTGGACACTTCAACTTGACCACTGGTCTGTGGATGATAGCCAATGCCCAGCCTGTGTTGCACTCCATATTTCTTCAACATCAGTTCGAACCGATGCTCCTAAAAATGTGTTCCCCTGTCACTAATCAACATACGTGGGATACCAAATCGGGAAAATCCTCAAGACAAGCATCAGTAAAAACAAAAGGGCATCTTTAGCTCGAAGCTCAGTTAGAGGTCGAGCAATCTTTGAAAAATCCTTAATGAAGAGACGATAAAGTCCAGCATGACCAAGAAAACTTTGAACTCCTTTAACAGAATTCGGAGATGGTAAGCGCTCAATAACCTCAATTTTAGCCTTATCGACCTCAGTATCCTTGTTTGACACGACATGGCCTAAAACGCTTCCCTATTGAACCATAAAATGACATTTTTCCCAATTCAGAATTAGATTGACTTCCTGACATCTATCGAGCACCTTTTTCAAATTATCAAGGCACATCGAAAGAAGTTCCATAAACAGAAAAATCATCTATAACCACATCTATAGAATTTTATATAAGGCCCGAAAAAATTGTCATCAAACAACGTTGAAATGTGGCTAGGGAATTACATAATCCAAACGGTATTCTACGATATGCAAAAGTGTCGTATGGACATATGAATGTGGTCTTTTCCTGATCACAAGGACGAATAGGAATTTGAAAGAAACCAGAATATCCATCCAAATAACAGAAAAAGGAATGCTTAGCCAAACGTTCAAGCATCTGATCAATAAAGGGGAGGGGGAAATGGTCCTTCCGGGAGGCCTTATTCAACCTCTTATAATCAGTACACATTCGCCACTCTGTAACAGTCCTAGTGGCGATAGGCTTACCCTTGTCATTCTTAACAACGGTCAAACCTCCTTTTTTAGTACTACCTGTACAGGGCTAACCCACTTAGTATCTGAGATAGGGTAAATTATTCCTGCAGCAAGCAATTTAAGAACTTCTTTTTTAACTACCTCCATCATGTTTGGATTAAGCCTTCTTTGAGATTCTACTGAGGAGGCATGATCGTCCTCAAGAACGATTATGCGTACAAAAAGAAGGATTAATACCTTTAATATCATCAATGGTGTACCCAATAACACTTTTATATTTTCTCAAAATAATGAGCAGTTGCTCTAAAATTGTGTTGTTAAGTTCAGCATTAACAATAACAGGGTATGTATTATTAGGACCAAGGTATGCATATTAAAGATTAGAGGGAAGGGGTTTCAGTAATACCTCGGGAGGCGTAGTTCTCTCCCCAACACTCGATGCATTACGGACTTCTTTGATTTGAGCGATGATTAGGTTAGCTTTTGCTTCCTCTAGTAGCCTTGTGTATTCCCTTGTTTCCCAATCTTCATCATTGGCACTCCCCATTAACAACGTTTCAAGTGCATCATCCATCTTGATCATGGGAAGTTGCTCTCTTTGTAAATCATCAAGGACGTCCACTTGACAAATAGTCTCTCCCATCGATGGAGTTCCCATAGCATTCAAGAGTGAATACTCCATTTTCTCGTCACCTACCTCAAAGGTGATTTTACCATTCTTCATATCAATGATTGCAGCTGTAGTGGCTAGGAATGGTCTACCAAGAATGATAGGAACATGTGAATCCTCTTCTATCTCCATCACAGCGAAATCTCATGGAATAAAGAATTTTCCCACGCGAAGAGGAACATCTTTAAATAACCTAAAGGAAACTTAACCGACCTATCCGCAAGTTGTAGTGATATGAGCGTAGGCTTTAGTTCACTCATTTCAAGTTTCTTGCAAATAGAGAGCGGCATAAGACTCACACTTGCACCAAGATCACATAATTCCATGTTGATCTCTATGCCTCCAAGGACCGGAATTGAATAGCTACCTAGATCGCTTAATTTCTTAGGAAGTGTGTTTTGCAAAATTGCACTACACACTGCAGTCAATGCAACTGTAGCATTCCCTTCTAGCTTCTTCTTGTTAGAGAGAATATCCTTTAAGAATTTTGCATAAGATGGCATCTTGGATATTGCATCTAAGAATGGAATGTTGATGTGAAGCTTTTTCAGAATATCGAGAAATTTTCCATACTTTTTCTCTAACTTTGCTTGGGCTAACCTCTGCGGAAAAGGAACATTTGGCACATATAGAGCAAGAGGTGGTGGAGTAGTTTCCTTTGGCTCTTCCTCAATCATAGTACTTTCAACCACCTTTTCATTTGCGCCTACCCCTTCAACAACCTCCTATGATGGCTCCCATACGGGAGGATTTTCCAATTGTTTTCCATTCCTCAAAGTAAAGATTGGCCAACTTGATGAGAAAGTTCACTTATCTAATTTTCCATGAGCTTGCTCTAAGCTTGTAACTATTGGATGGAATTTTTTTTTGTGGTGATAAAGTTCTCCGTCATTAGCTCAAGGTTATATTTTTGAGGTGGTTGCACATGTTGCATGGGTTGTTAGACTAGAGATGGCCTTGGTTGGAAACCAGGTGGTGCATTATAATTGTTGTTTCAAGGTGGTGGTGGAGGTGGATTTTGTTGGGCTTGGGTATTCTTGTAGGAAAAATTTCGGTGATTCTTCCAACCTTCATTATATGTGTTAGAGTGGGGGTCATATGACCTTTTGGGATTAGAAGTGTAGAATGCATTGACTTCCTCGATTGATATCTCATTTGAATTTTGTGGGCAATTAGGTACGATGTGACCTTGCACATTACACATTTGACAAGTCTTAGGTAAGCTAGCGGATGATCCAGCTTGGAGTCTGTTGAACTTTCTTGACAATGCCTACACAGAGCTAGTCAAAAGAGTTAGAGCATCAACATCTAATTTACCTCCCTTCTTCACACTATTTCGTCCTCCTAGATGTTAGTTATCATTGGTCGCCATCTTCTCAACTAGCTCCTTCGCCTCAGTTGGGTTCTTAGTCAAGAGAGAACCCCCGGGTGCAGCATCAATATAGATTCGGAACTCATGAGTTAAACCATTATAGAAGGTTTGTATCAACATCCATTCAGGAATACCATGGTGAGGGCATTGTCTCTGCAATCGCTTGAATCTCCTCCATGCGTCATATAGGGACTCATCATCTAATTGCCTGAAAGTAGATAACTCATTTTTCAACCTTGCAGTCTTTTCCTGTCCCAAGAACTTGACTAGAAAAGCCTTCACACTAAGCGAAAACACGTAATCCGCACCGGTTCAAAACCCCCATTTAGCACCGATTTTGAACCGGGGGGTGCTAAAACCCCAGACATTTCACACCGGTTCAAAACCGGTGGGAAAACATGCTTTTCGCACCGATTCTGGGTGAGAACCGGTGCAAAAAAACACACTTTTAGCACCGGTTCTTGCGTTGAACCGGTACAAAAAGTGGCAAAAAAAATTAAAAAAAACTTTTAGCGCAGGTTCTGTTCAAAACCGGTGCCAATAATGCCCCAAAAAAAAAACAGATTTTTTTTTTTTGCATTTTTTTCACTTAAATTGTATCAAATACTTATATATAATCATAATATACATAAAACACATATATTTTCTTCACGAAGAAAAAAGATCCCTTTGCCTTCACATTTCCAACCCACTTTTTTTACACCGAAGAAAAAAGATTCTAAGAAAATACCATGCAATTCCATTACTGAGTCATTGTCTCTTTGCTAACTTCTTCTTCAATCCTCTAAGTATCTTCCCAAACCACATCAAGTTCATTGCAGCAAGCATAGACGGCACAACAAACACCAAAAAGAAGCCAAATACATGCATTAGCATTACCTACAGTTATAATTTGATAGCACAAACAGAAGTTCAGCACATATGTTATGTTGGTGGCTATATCATCAAGAAAACAGATTGAATGTTGGCATTCGATAGATGAAAAATTCAACCAAAGAAACTAGATAGAAGCCATTCAGCAAATGTACACATCCATTTTTGTTTGTTTCACAGAGTAATGAAGTAGCTTTACCTTTTTAGTATGAATGCAACTACACATTACCTTTAACCTTGATGTCAGATATATAATTCTTGCCACAAAAACAAGGACTCGTAAATGTACAATTTGCATATGAGCAAAATAAAATACAACCGGAGGTAGTTAGTGAAGCAGACAAAACATAGGCAGCGTTACTATGGTCTTTTTTGTCACTTTTCTTATGAGTAATTCTAAGCAAAAAAAAGAGTATTATATAAGAAAGCAGTAGTGTTGACACGATATAGTAGTAGTATTTTGCAAATATGATGAATCTAAACATTAATTTATTATGCTAACACAACCTCAACTTTGTACCAAGTACTTGTTTGGATAATAATCTTATGTTCAATTCCACATTAAAGAAAGGTACCAATACTTATGAGAAGTAAGATGCTTACCAAATTTCCAGGTTTGATATTCCACTTGTGTCTTATATAGTAAACCCTCCATTAAGGTAAGCATACCCAAGGGAGAAGAAATAACCAAAACGATATGGGATACAGACAGACAAGAGACAAGTTTCATCCTAATGATTGCATCAAGCCAACCCATAACTGAAAGATTTACCACTGTTTTGCTATAAAGAAACTATCGATAAATAAAAATAATCCCGCAAAGAAAAGGAGAGTATAGGGGTGAAAGATTTGGAAACTATGGAAACAAGCAGTGAGCTCAAGCAAATAACAGGCAGGGAGATTCCGTGGAGATTGTCTCTTGCTCCCCATAGAAAAGGACCAGTCAGTCAAAAGCAACAGAGTTCTGAAAGGAATCTTATCAGTGGTACTGATATGAGAGGGAGACAGAAGGAGAGTAGGACATAGAAAAGTTAGGAGAGGGATAGGCTGAAAAAACAACTCTTAATTGAATTCAGTCAGCAAGAATCTACTCTTGTATAATATGTTGCTTTTGTGGACATTCTTGACAGTGTACAGTTGTACATATACATAGACCATGTGCGCTTCTAAATGCTTATAGATTTCTAAATTTTTTCACTTTAAGGGGTGATTAATTAAAATAAACAAAAAAATAGGTGGTAAATTCAATTTTAGGGGTGGTTATTTACAATATTTTCCTAAAACTAATCTAGCCCTTATTTCTATACCACTGAACATATTTCCACGGCATAAAAGGAATAGAGGAATTTGTCATCAAATCAATTTTGGCCTTTTAGACGTAAACAATGAAATACCTTCAACTGGAGGAAAGGATAAATTTAATTAGAACTCAATAAAACAAGCAGAAATTAGGATAAGCATTAATAAAAGGTCATCTCTTGTCATTAGAAGTTGCAAATAATGAATTCTATCTTCTAAGCTTACTGACAGAGTAAACCAAGTGTGCAAGGTCGTATAAAGCCACTTTGCATCCTAAAGAGATTATGTTTTGACTGAGTGGAAAATGAGCAAGAAAGTTCTCTATTTTGTCCAAAATCTAGTAGATTAAATCACAAACTCGAATCTTAGGGTGTAACTCCACTGAGCAGCATATAGTAGGCCATAGATTTTAGTGTAAAAACTCATTTGCCACAATGTCTTTTTAATATTTTTAATAAGCATAAAAAGATAGTACTCCCAGCCTCTCATATAAGACTTTCATTTTTCTTCTCTTTTACGACTATGAACAAATCAGGAAGTGATGCACTGGATTTCCATTAGGAAATTACATGATTAAGCTTATATTGAGAAAAAGCAAACACTAGTGATATATTGTCCCATGTAGAGGAATCCACATTCCAGGCAACCTTAGATTGGAATAATTTTTTTTTTTACAGATTTCCACATGAATCACAACAGAAACACAACCCCATTTAAAATTACTTACAAAAGTAAAACATTGGATTTCAGCATCATTCAACAAAATCACAACCCCATAATAAAGTAATTAAATAACATATTTCAACACTAAGCCATGAAATTTTCTACAAAAAAATCTGAAAAATAAAATTAAAATGCAGTGTAAATTATTATACTTGAAAAAAGACAAGATTTTTCCCAAGCAAGGAATTCAAAGAACTAAACCTCTGAATGTGATTCCAGTAAAACAACCTCAAACAATTTCTAAATAGACAATAAGCTGAATTCCCACACACATAAACCAAATTAATGCAATCAATCAACCCATCAACCAACCCTAAATAAATTAACACACACACATATACACCTTCAACAACATAAACCTTCAACTAATTATCCCATTCAACAAAACAAATCGAATTTACACTTACAATGTTTTGGAATCCAAATACGGCTTGTATTCAAACGGAACCATGGCTTCAACTATTTGATGGTTCACACACCAACTCTAATTGCATTCAAAATTTCAATTGTTCATCATTAATCAAAAAAATAATAATTCATAAAACCTAGATTTCAAACACCCAAAAAAAAAAAAAAAAAAAATTCATAAAACCTAGATTTCAAATCGAAGAGCACATACCTTGAATTTGTGAACTTTGAATCGATAATTGATTCAAGTTTGTTGTTGTTGTTGTTGTTGTTGTATTTGGTTCAAATTGACGGCGGCCGATTTCAGACTGAGAAGGAGAAGGAGAGCGGCGTTGCTTGCGGCGCAGTTATGGAGAATGAGAGAGAAAAGGAAAGAGAAAGCGGCGGATATGGAGAAGGAGATCGAAGGAGAGAGAAGGAGTTTGAGGCTCCATTGTTGTAGATGATAGAGACTGAGAGAGGCAGATGAGAGTGGAGGAGAGATCGAGGAAAGAGAAATACATAAGACAGAAAGAGAAAGAAAAAAGATAAGGCCCATTTTATTTATTTTTTTTACAATAGCTTTCCCACCGGTTCGAACAACTTTCCCACCGATTCGAACCGAAGCGGTGCGATTAAGGCCTTGTTTAGTTCATCTTATTTTTACTTATTTCAGAAAAAATAAGTTCAGATCAGATTAGATCACAAAAAATAAGTTCAGATCAATTACAAATTATTATTATTATTATTATTATTATTATTATTATTATTATTATAAAAATTATTATTATTATTATTATTATTATTATTATTATGGTTATTATTATTATTATTATTATTATTATTATTATTATTATTAATAAATAGCACAAACGATAAACGATAATAATTAAAATTTCATTATAAGCTCCAAATCATAAACGTTTACAAATATAATTTTCATTACAAGAAGTTCGAAATTTCCTTCGCTATATTAAGTTGTACTTCGTTCATTACAGCTTTACGATTCTCGTTAAACAAATCATAATCTGCTCTTGGTTTGATTTCTATACCACTATCAATGGGTATACCCAACTCATGTAATCGAATATAAAATTGTGAAGTGTGAATGTAGCAACCATAATTGCAAATTGATGTTTAGTGTCCATATTTGGCATCATTGTCAATATTTTCCATCGAGATTTTAATTGTCTGAAACATCTCTCGATCGTTGTTCGAAGTGAAGAGTGAAGATAATTAAAAAGTTCAAGTATGCCTTGAGGTGGTGGACTATTTCGAAATTCAGGCATATGGGTTCTAATATCTTTGTCTTTTATTGGACTCAAATATTCAACGGTATTCGGATATCCAGAACCTACTAGATAATATTTTCCTGTTACAAAATAAAGTTATACGGCATATTAGTATAGTGTCATGTATGGAGTAAAAACATACACTATTCTAAATTATATCTGGAGGTGGATGGGGAAATCGAAATTTTAGTACGGTTAAGCAATGGTTCCATACAGTAATATCATGAGCACTACCTTCAAATCTAACATTGATAAACGTGAAAAGTCTATCACAGGAATAAGCAGCCAAAACATTCCATGTTTTTTTTCCAGAACGCCCTCGATATGCCACACCATCATCATCGTTTACAACTGCATTTATATGAGTAGTAAAGTACATTGGAAAGATAAATTTACACTGGATATGAAAAAAAGTAGACGGAGGGAAATAACAAATGGGATGAACAATTTGTGACTAAAATTTAGCCAAAAAGGACTATCAATAAGGGACGAAGGGAAAACATAATACTTTGCTTTTTCCGAGAAACACCCTCATCAGATCAAAACAATAATACTTGATCAAGTGGTTTTAATAAAAATATTTGAATATCTTCTTACAAAATATTACTTTTTTTCCAAAAAAAAAAAAGAAAAAAGCAATAATAAACGAGCCTAACATTTCCTATACAAAAAAAATGAATATCTTTGTACAACATATTATGTATATTTTCATTTTTTTTTAATTTCATATTTTTGATAACAAGCCTAACGTTTCCCATAAATAAATTTTTTTTAACTTTCATATTTTCTTTCCTCCTAATCTGTCAAATACTTTTGCTTTATACAATTAAATATTCTTCCACTTACCCCATCCATATATTATTACGTTTACCAATTTCTCCTAAAACTCCCCACATGTAAAAATGGAGAAGGTATTTAAAATCGAAGGGAGTATACGTACAAGGTTTTCAATAATAATAGCTACACATTACTACCAAAATTAGTACAAAGTAACATAGAAAATGTTGCTAGTTCAAACAAACGATAAAATCAAATCCGATACATCATAAATCTATATTATTATTTAAGAATTAAGGTATTTAAAAACAAGTCAAATCTCCTTTTTTCTATGTAGAAAAAAGCTATGATAAATTTAATCTGTATTTTAGTTTTTATGAAGTGGGATACTGTAAATAATAAAATTATCACATATTCCAATTCTATTACCTTATACTATCTAGTAATTTTAATACTTATATGTTTCTTTAAAATATTTGTAAGAATAATAATAATAAATAATAATAATAATAATTATTGATTAGGGGATTTTTATCCACCAATCACCGTCTGACAAGTGGACCAACCAGGTTCCGCCACGTGTCCTTCACGAAGGCCAATAGGAGCCTGCCACGTGTCAGTCACAGATACGTCCTCTACGGACCAATCGAGGCACGCCACGTGTCCACCCATGCCAAATGGGAAAACCGGCCATCAAGGCCCAATCCAGTCTAGAGGCCCGGTCAGCCCTAGGTTTACCTTAAACCTAGAGAGTGGCACGCTTCTCAAGGCTATAAATACTTAATTAATCCTCATTAATTAAGAATAATAGAAATCAAGCAGAGAAGAACAGAAACATTACGGAACACTAATAACCGGCTAATCTCGCTAACGACGCAGATTACCAACATTAAACACTCTCACCTAGAGAGATCTTATTGATTTAATTTCCGTATTAATTACTCCTTAATCAGGTACTAACTTGACCGTTGGAGGCGGAGCTCTCAGGAGTTTCCGTTATTTTGCAGGTACAGGCGTCCGGTTCCAGTCTCGGAATTGTAACTCTCCCGCAGGACATCAGAAAACCCCGAAACATTTGGCGCCGTCTGTGGGAAGAGTACTTCAGAGATGGCATCCAAGTCTGTACCGACTCCAGAAGAGAGGCGTCCCCTAGACGACCCTCAAGTTCAGTCGGACCATGATACCGAAAGTGAATTTGAAGTGGAAACTCATACAGCTCCAGACGGGACCCTAAGGGCCCGACGTACCCGTCATACCGAAAGGAGGGAACGGGAGCATCTTCAAACAGGAAGCGAGCCAGCGGGCGCACTGCCTGCTCGGCAACAGCCGACTGATGGGTCTGCTCCCATCACAAGGAACGAACTCATGACCTTCATGAGGGACTTCAAGGGAGAGATTCAAGAGTTGATCAACAAAAAGCCGCCTACTTCAGTCAAAGAGCAGTCGGCCAAAAAGCCTTCCACTTCACTGAAGAGGAAGCCAGTTCAAGGGCGAGAGGCGACTCCTCATCCTAAATCCAAGAAGCGGGAGCCACTTGCTCTTGATTTCACAAAATTCCGTTATCCTACGGGAAATAGGAAACCGGTTCGTCATATTCAGGCGGACGGGTCAAAGCAAACGTTCACAAATGCTCGGCTACTGCTAGAGCAGAAGAAGAGTGACCGATTGTCAGAGTCGGCTTCTACTTCAAATTTCCAAGACAGTTTGCGAAATACCTCTATGAGGCATACTCAGTCGTACCATGAGAGTCAGTCAGGCGGCACCTCCCGTCAGTCCGGCTTTCATAATGCCCAGGCGGTACCAAACTTACCATTTGTGCCGCAACAACAGTACTTTATGCAGCCACCTCCATTTGGTGGACCTGCAGCAAAAAACGTCCAACCTATGGACTGGCAGCTACGGCTGCTTAGACTTGGTGAACAGCCGTCAACCTTCTCCAAGGAAATTACTGAAGCCGCTCAGCCGGCCAAAGTAAAAAATGTACTAGTAGGCGCCTATGACGGCACTACTAATCCAGAAGACCATCTGATGGCATTCACCAACCTGATGTACCTTCAAGGGTTGGATGATCCCACTTGGTGCAAGTGTTTCCCAGCGACTCTCAAGGGAATCGCACAGCAATGGTTCGGCAACCTGCCGACTGGTTGTGTAAACAGCTTCAGGACGCTTGCTTACTTATTTGCCTCCAACTTCGCCATGAACATCCCTGCGAAGAAAACGACCCTTGATTTGGGAACAATTCAGCAGGGCGAGAAGGAGGGGCTTCGTTCTTACATCAGGCGGTTCAACCTGATGAGAATACAGATTCAAGGGTTACCGGATGAGGTAGCTTATACTGACTTTTTTAGAGGTCTCAAAGACGGGTCTACCTTCAAATTTGATTTAGTTCGAAAAAGGGTGGCGACTCTTCAAGAGGCCTTGATTGAAGCAGAAGCCTATATACAGGCGACTGATCTATGTACGATAAAACAGTCGGACGGGAAAAGGTTCGACAAAAGAGAAGGACGACAGAAACAGTCGTCTAACAAAGATGAGAAAAGAAAAGAGGTCTGGGCGGCTGATTCCTCTAAACAGCCGGCCAAGAAAAAGAAAAAAGAATACAAACCATACTCCCCAAAGTATGTGTTTAAACAGGATAACCAGTCTATCCTGAAAGAAATAAAAGGACGGTTCTCAATTGAGAAGCCGCTCCCCATGAAGGGTTCTGCAAACAACCGGAACCAAGACAAAATCTGTGCTTATCATGATGACGTTGGTCATCACACCAATGACTGCATCAGTCTCATGCGGTACCTAGACCGCTTGGCTGAGCAAGGTGATCTTGACACTTATGTCAAGAAATCTACGGGAAACACTTCTTCAAAAAAGCAGTCGGCCAAAAAGAATCAACAGGCCGACAGTTCCGATACAGATGATGCAGTCGTCTACACCATTGCAGGCGGCTTCTCAGGAGGCGGCCCCACTATTAGGGGCAACAAAGATAATATAAGGCGGTTAGATGTAAATTCCGTTCACCAAGAACGGCCGTCCAAATGTACATTTCCTGAGATTGTCATCACTAAAGAGGATCTAGGAGGGGTAAGGGGGCCGCATGACGACCCTCTCGTTATTGAATGTAAAGTGGCCAACCAGAGAGTTGGCCGAATCCTCCTAGATACCGGGAGCTCCTCAGATCTCATCAGCAGCAAATGTCTGTCAAAACTGAAATATCAGACGGACTGCATACATCCGGCCTCCCACCCTTTAATAGGGTTTGGAGGAGGAGTCGTCCACCCACTGGGACGAGTAGATTTACCCATTCGCCTGGGCGAAAAAGGGGAAGGACGACACATGGTAGTCCGGTTCCTAGTAGTAGAGGAACTCTCGGCCTACAACATGATTCTGGGTCGACCAACCCTGAATAATTCCAAGGCTGTTATAATCCCGTCTCTTATGCTGCTTAAGTTTGAGAGGGATAATGGAACAGTCGGCTCCCTAAGGGGAGATCAGAGGATGGCCCGAGAGTGCTATCTCTCGGATGCCAAGCCCACTGTTATGGCCACTGGGTCAAGTGGAGAAAAAACAGACCTAGACAATGTCAAGGAGAGAGCGCCTGTTCAAGAAACAGGCGACAAAAAGAGAAAGGCGTCCCAGACAGA